TAGATTTTTAGGTATTATTAGGTATATTTTAGTTATTATTGATTTATTATACTAAGCATTGACTAAGTTGTATTATTGCAACTGTTTTATTACAGTATATGTTACTATTTGGGACTGCTTTTACAACTGTGGTGTTTGTGTCGCCTGTACGTTTTTCTTGAAGCAATAAAGATATTATATTATATTATTATATATAATGTAACTCAGAATCTCAAATGGAGTGTACATATTCAGTCCTTGTGTTCAAAATTGAATAAGGTATGTTATATTATTAAATCTTTGAAAGATGAGGTAAGTTTACATATACTCAGGAATATACACTTTGCCAAATTTCAATCGTTGGTAAGTTATGGGTTGATTTTTGGGGAGGAGAAAATGAAAGTATTAAAGTCTTTAAAATACAAAAGAGGATGCTTCGTTTCATGAAAGGTGTAAATAACAGAGTGTCATGCAGACCTTTATTTAAAGAATTGAAGATTTTAACTATTATGTCCTTGTACATCATAGAGGTGTTGTGTTATTTTAAGAGATATAATATATACACTAGGAGAAATACTGATTTATACAAGTATAATACTAGGAGGAAAGATGATCTGCATGTACAACAATATAACACATCAGTTTTTAAGAAAAGTGTTATTAATGTGGGCATTAAATTATATAATACACTTCCTTTGGAAGTTAAAAAGTCAAAGGGATGTAATGAATTTAAACATAAATTAACATTATTTTTATTTGATTGTCCTTTCTATACATTGAATGAGTTTCTTCAACGGGGACATGAGGAAGCATAGCAAGGTTTCTTTAATTAACAAAAAAAAAAAAAAAAGAGAAAAGGGAGTTGTAGTTACTGTTATATTTTTAAAATTCTAAGTGATGTTGTAAGGTACAGTTTTATTTTTAGTCTAATACAGTCTAGGATTATAGAGCTTTTAACAATGATGTATTTAGTGAGTTGACTTGTTCAAGTGTTGCAGTTGTAACAGTATGAATGCAAATAAATATGAATATGAATATGAATATTGAATAACTTGTAGGACTGAAAAGGAATGCAGAAGAAAGAAAGCTATAGACAGGAGGAATATCTGATTTCACTTTCTTACTGTAGTACATGATTATTGTTGGGTTATGTCTAATATAGTACACCCAGCATAACTGCAGATCAGTGTTTGCACAACATGCAGAGAATGTTTGAATCATGTTCACCTTTTTCACATAGGTTTGTTTGAGCTGAGTCGTGATACTGAGACGGGAGTCTCTCTGTACAGTCGCAAGGTGCTGATCAAGAACAAGACAGATAACATCCTGCCAAAATGGCTGCGCTTTGTCAAAGGTAAGCTCTGTTCAGGGCATGCCATAGCTCAGGTGACCAGTCACCAGACCCTCACCACTGGTGTGCAGACTCAATCATGTGGGATTCATGGTTGACAGGCATGGTCTCTGTGTCATGTTAGTCTTCAGACACTTGGGTTTTGCCCTATCATCAACCTAAGTGTGCACAGAATTGCAATGTTACTGTCAAACACTGGAAATCACAGAGTTTTACAATGCAACAACATGGGATTTGCACAGAGAAATCCATCTCAGTAGGCTCTACTTATGGAAAATATGCAACATCAGTGCTGACATTGGTAATGTTTGGGGCGCACTCACATGTGAATTTGGGTTATATATCATTTGATCTGTTTCATTATATTTTGTAAGTACAAGTTATTTTGCATTTATGTAAGATTTTTAAAATAAAAATATACCTATATACTACTGACATAAGATATAAGTTCACAAACACGAATTGAAATTAGACAATCTTCCTCCCCTACTCAAATAAAATTCTTATGCCATGTTTCAGTGGGGTCTTAGGTTTTGTGTTAACCGAAATAGGTTGAGAACCACTGCTCTAAAGGTCTGTGACAGTAGTTTGTTCCTTATATGAATATTATGCTGGACTTGTTCGTCATCAGGAGTATTTTGAAAATACTCCGTGTTCCAGAAGGTGTATGCGTTTCTGTCGTCAGGTGCCTTCCACCATGACAGTGGAGACAACAGGTTCCTTTGAGATGTTATCTGTGTACCAAACTACGTAGCATTACAACCCAGAAGACCATAATCCTCTCGGTCATTGCCTTTAGAACCTTACATTCCACTTTCAATGGCTTGTATGTTGTTATTAAATAATATAAAGGTTACTGTATTTTGTGACGAACAGTGTCTTCCACATGTTTTCTTTACCAGCTGATAATAAGATAAATGGTGTCACATGACAGCTGTAATTGAAACAATTCTTGGAGATTGTTACCCCTTTGGCGCAGTCATTTAAATTCCGCGGCCGCGTCTCCGGCGGTAATATATTCAGCCGGCCATTTAAATTTTGCTCGAAAATGATTTATTCATCATTGTTCTTAAATTCTATGAGATAGGAACATGAAACTTTCACTAAAATGATCTTAAAAGGTGGTTTTATAACCTTGCTTTATAATATGCGCGCCCGGTATCTCGGCAATGGAAGCAGTTCGTTTAGAATTTGAGCAGTGTATCGTACGCCTTGAAGCATGAAACTTTCACAAAAATGATCTTAAAAGATTGTTTTATAACTTTGCCTTATAATATGAGCGCCCGGTATCTCGGTGGTGGTTCAGAATTTGAGCGGAGTGTTGCACGCATTGAAGCATTCTACTATACACAGCGCTGATTCACATCACCATACCACTACTGCGTATCTCTCATTTGGCTCTTTTTTCCGTAAACAAAACATCTTCTGTGCGGCCTTGCCTACTTCCCCGTGGGGGAAATATAAGAAGAAATGTCTCTCCGTGAGTCGTATCGCTAGGCAGATTAGCTGCAGTAAATTCAACCTTTATGTTATCATAACAAGTGTTGGTGCTTCTGCGTTTCATTTTCCATCCATTTTGGCGGCATAAGACGTCGTAGGGGTGACCACAGAATTCATGAAGTTATTCTAAGAACTGGCTGGTATGTAGTGAACGAAAGCAGAGCTTAGCTGGCTCAAAAAAATATTTATGGTCATCCCTCGAAACGACCACCAAGGTCAGTACGATAAAATGGAGTCAACTGGAGCGATAATACATGAAGGAATGAGTTCTTTTCCCTCCCCCACACACATCCGTATCGTCTCAGGGGGTGACCACAGTGTTCTGCCTTAATTCGTGACGTTTTTCTAAGAACTGGGTGCTATATACTGTGCGAAATCAATCGATCATGCCAGAATACATTTTTGGACATCCCTATTCTAAGAATTCCAATTGAGTGTGTTAATGTGGCCAGCTCAGGGCAATATGATATTTTAAACACAGCACATATCACTTCTCTGCTGTTTATAAGTTAATAGGAAAGAAAACACGTCATCCATTACAGTTGGACCTAAACCTCTCCCAAGAGCAACAGGAACTTTGCTGCAAGACAGGCATATGTAACGATGAATTAGTGCAGCTAAACTCATTTCTCATTATAAACCGTTCTTGTGACAACAGGCCAGCGAAGAATCTAACAATCTACAGCAAAACCATCAATTATTATGGGCGTTATAACATAGGTGTGCAGCTGGACGAAACATACACGTCGAACCCCCCCAGACGATTTAAATACCTGACGAAACATACACGTCAAACCACGCCAACGGGTTAATACTGTGTAGCAGACAGACAGCTGGACATTAAGTAAGTCTCCTAAACTGAACTTCTTAAAGTGCCACAGAAAACATTAACATCTCATGTATTGCAGGTGTCGTGGACTCGGAAGACATCCCCTTGAACTTGAGCCGAGAGTTGCTTCAAAACAGTGCCCTCATCAGGTTGGTATGACTGCCAGGAGTCATATGGTTAATTATGATGAACATGTGAGTCATTGTAAGTGAATTGTAAATTTCATCATCTCCAATGTAATGGTTACTTGAACTGTCAAATTTGGTGTGTGTAATTATACTCATGGTTTGATTTTCTTAAAATATCGTGGTAGATGGAATTACTGGTAATTGTTTTGTTTAATTTGTGCTTCAGCACATCACATGTTCACTGTTAACCAGAATGCTATGATATATCACAAAGACATACATTTATTACTGAGGTATATGATAGAAGTATGTTGTCAGTGGTTTTGATGCAAAGGTCCATGTAGTTGTATTGGCAGATACCAGAGTTTCAGAGGCACATGCTGCCTCTTTCTTCAGGGTAGAAGTGTGTAGGTTGAGGAGTGGACTTGCTTATACAGGGCTACTACAAGTGATTCATTCATTTTTAAAACGCTATATTTTCCAAAGCGTTACACATACAAATATGATTGATATATAAAAAGAACCATAAACTCGCATTATGCATTGGGTAATGAATTTTATTTACTTTCTGTGTTTTGAACATCAGCTGTACTAAAATTGAAGTCTTCTGAGATGTGGCATTGTGTGGTCTGGTAGGTATATACCAGTGTCGCCAAAGAACCTGCTGAATGTGGAGGCAGAATGTTCCTCTGAAGCGTTGGTGTCTGTCAACCAGACTGCATGATGACTGTAATCGTAGTGTTCCAAGCTGTGAGAACTCAGATCTCATCAGTTCTATATGCTTGGATGTGCAGGAAACTGCGAAAAGTGCTGACAAATCGAGTTCTGCGATTTCTCCATGATAAGTCAACCAAGGATCCAGCAGAGTTTGATAAATTCTATAAGGATTATGGCATGTTCCTCAAGGAGGGCATTGTGACCACTAATGAGCAGTTTGAGAAGGTAAATGTGTTGTTTGGGATTTTTAGGTTCTCTGTATCTTAAAGGAAAATGGAGTTTATGTTTGTGATCACATGGGTTGGGGCATTGTATACAGTGACATCCCATATTTACAGTGCAGCCATAATTTAATTTTCCCTGTATGTGATATCGGAACTACAAATTCATGCTGAAGAATGAAGCATTGCTGCCAGATTTTCTTTCTGCTCCAAACACAAAATGTGCAGATGCAGCCAGGAGGAGTGTGATAGTGGAGCAGAGCTGATATGTAAACCATGCAACTGGTAGCATGCTTGGCTGATGTGACCACCAGTCAGCTATGTTCAGAGGCAGACAGTGCTGCCTTGAGGTGACCAGAGCTGAATACTGATAGGAGGCATCATTAAATTGTTGCAAGACTGTTTTAACATTTCTTTTGTTGAAGCTAAACCCAGTATAAGCAAACTGTCACTTTCCTGTATTTAATGGGTTTTGATTTAGTAAATAGCCGACATTGAGTATAAGAAGTTTTTTGAACTTGTAGAACTCTTATCTTGATTAAGTGTGATTGTGGTCAGAATTACAGTTGATATTCACATTTTCTCTATTCAAAATTGTTACCACGTCACAATAATCTCTGGTGACTGAGTTCAGTACTGAAGTGTGGTACACCCCACATATTGATGACATGGGCTGAAGCACGTTGACCAGAGACATCATGGTTGCTTTAATTCTTGAATGAATGAATGAATGAATGAATAAGGGGTGGGCCTGGGCTGCACCATAGCTCAAGCAGTTAGTCGCTGGCTTCCCACTGTGGTGGCCCAGGTTCGATCCCGGGTCTGATCAAGTGGGATTTGTGGTGGACAAAGTGGCACTGGGGCAGGTTTTCTCTGAGTACTTCAGTTTACTCTGCCAATCTTCATTCCACCAACTGCTCCACAATCACCCTCACCTATCATCTGGGGCTGGTACAATAGGCCAGAAGTGGCAGCAGTACAAGGGACTTAGTCCCACCCCACTAGCATTAAAAAAAATTAACGGGTGGGCCTTCTCGGCCCTTGCACCGTGACCTACAGTGATCTATTGTGCTTTGCTTTAAATCTTCACTGAGGTTCTTCCATTATTTACTTTATGTTATTCAGTATGTTAAAAATTGATTTGATATTATTTATTATGTACTGGCATTTATTTATGTAAATGTAGGATATGACACTGTGTAGTCTGGTAGATTATTACCATCATTTTGGAGGAACATGTTTCCTCCATCTTCAAGGAACTCTTCTGCCTGTCCCATTAGACAAAATGTTGATAGTTATCACTGTGAAAACCTCAGATTTGACATTGCACAGTTTAAAAACGATTTCCATTTTTCAGGGTTTATTTCATACATAATTAATTGTTTTAGAAATTAACTAGTTTGACACCCATTGGAAATTCAGCAGGAAGCCTCAGTATGAATTATATAAGCTACATATTACCTTCCCCTGCTTTCTCCCTTAATCCTCTACTGCCCTGCATGTTATGGAATGATACATCAAGGCCAGTGTTTGATGCCGTCTGCTTCCAGTGACACCCACAAGTAGTGGTTCATAAACTCTCCTTCATGCAGTATGCTGCACTTCTCATAGCCACATCAAAAAATTATCAGTACTCATAGAATAGGTGCAGTGCCCTGAAACGAAAGACTGCTTAATCATTTGTAACCTGCTGTACCTCATATATTATTATTATTGCTAGTGGGGTGGGACTAAGTCTCTTGTACTGCGGCCACTTCTGGCCTATTGTACCAGCCTCAGATAATAGGTGAGGGTGATTGTGGAGCAATTGGTGGAATGAAGATTGGCAGGGGAAACCGAAGTACTCGGAGAAAACCTGCCTCAGTGCCACTTTGTCCACCACAAATCCCACTTGACCAGACCCGGGATCGAACCCGGGCTGCCACAGTGGGAATCCAGCAACTAACTGCTTGAGCTATGGTGCGGCCTGTACCTCATATAACTAGTGTTCATGCAGTGTGTTAATGATTGACAGTTCAGTGAGTGGTAAACTGAAATTGCTTGGCATCCGAGCCTTATCTCACTCGGTGCTCTTGAATGTCCATTTGAGGTTCTCATAGCAGTCACTGTAAAGAGTACTCTGTCCTGGGTTGCGATGCTGTGTATTCTGGGAGTTTTGCAGTGTGCTGTTATTATGTGCATGTAATTATATGTCTAGAAATACTGTCATTAAGTTTACTGGCATTCTTGGCCCCAGGTTACAGTTGTTGGAACCACACTAGTACAAGTTGCCGGCATGAGGCACATCTATAAGCATATCAACAGGTCAAAGATGCCAATGTCTCAGAAGAGAAATGTTTAAGTAAATAATGCTAATTGCAGGAGGAAATAGCAAAGCTGCTGAGATTCGAATCTTCGCGATGTGGCGAGGGAGACAAAGTGACCCTCCCGCAGTACCGCAGCCGACTAGCAGCAGGCCAGAGGGACATCTTCTACCTAGCAGCACCCAGGTGGGTGCAGCATTTCCAGTGACTGGTGGAATTTGGACTAATGCAACAATTTGTTTAAGATTTGGAAATGACCCATTGAAATTGATGGGGAATTGAAAATATTAGAATGGAAATAGTATCTGTTAAATGCTATGTAATTTTGGAGAAAAACATTTGGTCACTAAAATAATATAAATACAAGTACAATGGTGCATGCGGTAGCACAGTTGGATGAGGCACTGTGCTACAAGCCAGAAGGTCGCTGGTTCGAGTTCCAATGAGGTGGATTTTTTCACTTTACCCAATCCAGCCGTATTATGGCCCTGGTGTCAACTAAGCTTCTAACAGAAATGAGTACCAGGAATCTTCCTGGAGGATAAAGGGTGGCTGGTGCATAAGGCTAGCAACCTCATCGTCATCTGTGAGCCTATTGTCTAGAGAAAATGGGGGAGCCTCAACGTCTCACAACCATCTTCACAACCTGTAACAGGGATAGGTTTATCCCCCCCCCCCTTTTTTTTTTGCAAGACAGGTTCTGTGGGATTCGTCATTGTGATGTACAGTTTTAGTAAGATTTTACAATTTTAGCAAGATAGACAACACCTGAAGATGACCATATGTGGCCGAAACATGTAGTGAGAAAGAAAGTGACTAGGTAATAAGCTGCATTTAAGGTGGAAATATTTGTGTAAGAAGATAGATTAATGCAACAGGATGCTTAAATACAATATCATGGCTATTTACAGTTGCTCTTGTTATCCTCATGATGAATTTTATATTCATTCCCTTTGTGCAGTCGAACTTTGGCCGAGTCCTCTCCGTATTTTGAAGCACTGAAACAAAAGGATGTAGAGGTGTTGTTTTGCTATGAACCATATGATGAACTCGTGTTGATGCAGCTCCGTCAATTTGACAGCCATAACCTTACTTCTGTGGAGAAGGAGATGCGGCAGGATAGGGAATCAGATGACCTTACAGATCTTGGTAAGTACGTGGGTACACAGTGTAGTGAAGCTGGAGAAACAGCGATTTCTTTAAAATTACTTTTATTCTCACAACATGTGAACTATGAAAATGGATTTGTTACATTGTCTTTGTCTCCCCCCCCCCTCCATTTAATATGTGATGTAGGCAGCCAGTGAAATGTTGCGACTGTGTAGAACTTGAAGTTCTTAAGGCAGTTCCTGTCTTCAAGGATGCAATGCCATATGGTCTGACTCTTTTACCAGTATTTTTCACATTCTGCCATATTTTGTCCCCTGAATTAGCCCATTCTAATGTTTATCTTTTGTCCCATTTGCTATACCCATGTAAGAGTCGCAGTTTCCTTACTTTCTTTCTCTTGACCCATTCTCTCAGAGTCATTATGCCCCCCATTTGCTCTGCCATGGGAAAACATCTTTAAAAGGTCAGTAAGCTTTACAGTGTTCTTACTCCTGTTGGTCCATGTCATTTCTTCCATGCTCAGTTTACTCTTCTTCCCTGAAGATCCAGCCAGCTGGTTTCTTCAGATTATTGGTAATGACCCACCAGACTACACCGTGTTAAATTCCAAATGACACTATCTTCAGGCTGTTGTAAAACTTTTCGTTTTTTTCTGTAGGTTTTTATTTCTTGATCTACACACTTCCACTTTTACATCCAGTAATATCATCTAGTATACGCACTAGCGTGCACGTGCGCATACGAAAAACCAACTTACCACCACATTGCCTGGAACCGTACTGGGACAGCCATGTGGTCAGAATGTACAACATGCGTATATAAGTATTGCCAACATATACACCAGAAACAACATGCGTATATTAGTATTACCAACAT